CATATTTCAGTGATGTGATATAGTCTCCTACCCAGAAGTATGTGAAATCTAATTTTTAAGTGTAGCAGAAGCAGCACTATCATCATTATAAATATTATCATCATCTCCCTTCTCTAGTTTCTTTTTTATCCAAAGGAGCTGGTCCATCATTTCAAAAACTCATATAGTAACTCCTCTGCCCTTCTGTCTTTTTATCCTACTGGACTGACCCTATATAGCAAGGCATAAATGCTGGATAAATCCCATCATGTGTGTTCTCTGTGCTGCACCTCAACAGCCAGCCATACAACAGGCTAGAAAGGTTCCACTATAAATTCAAGATCAACACTACCTAAAAATAAAACAACATTTCTGTGGTAATTTCACTCTTCTAATCCCCACAAAAAAAATCTTGAATCCTCTCTGCTCCATTTTATCCTCTGCTCCTCTTCCCTGTCAATCTCCTAGCCCACCTCCAAATGGGTACCACCAACATCATGACCTTTGTCTCTTTACAATAAAAAAGAGAACACATCACACAGGAACTCCTTAATCTTCCTGATGCCTGAGTTATACGAGGCACCTCTGGATTCATCCTACTCATCCTTCCTCCTGTTACAATGGGGAAGTTCTCCCTCTTCTATTCTAAAGCTAATCTCTTCAACTGTACTTTTGAGTCCATCCACATCCACCTTGTCAGGAACTTGATAGTGTTAATTATTCTTTCTCTTTTGTACATTCAATGCCTTCCTCCAAACAGATACATCCCATTAGCCTTTAAACCTCTTATAGTTTTCCATATTAAAACAAACGAACAAACAAAAAACACCACACTCAACCCCTGTTGTGTGCTAAACTGTGCCCCCGCAAAATCCACACGTCAAAGTTCTAACCTTCAGTACTTCAGCATGTAACCATATTTACTTAAAGATAGGGTCTTTAAAGAGGTAATGAAATTAAAATGAGGTTATTAGGGTGGACTCTAATCTACTATGACCAGTGTCTTTAAAAAGAAAGACAATTTGGACACAGAGAAGATGATGTGAAGAGGTAGGGAGAAGATAAACCATCAACGAGCTAAAAAGACAGGGTCTGGAACAGATCCTTCCCTCATCGCCCTCGGAAGGAATCCACTCTGTCAACACCTCCATCTTAGACTTTTAGCCTTCAGAACTGAGAAAACATTTCTGTTAATTTACGTCTCTAGTCCGCAGCACTTCATTACTGCAGCCCTAGTAGACTAATAGAACTCCTTATCTACCACTCTAGGCATTGCTCTTACTGCTCACCTTTCCTTCACAGACAGAAATCTCCATCGTCTATTCTCAGTGTCTCCTTTGCCGTATCTCCCTCTCATTCCTGAATTCACACCAATGTGCTTCTGGCCCTACCACTCCATGCCCTGGGTTCACCAATGACCTCTATCTTGTGCATTTTAACAGACATGTAAGTCTTACTCTTATTTAATCTTTCGGCAGCATTTGAAAGGGTTCCCAACTCCTTCCCTTAAAAGCTTTCTTCCCTTGGCTTCCACAACATAGAACTCTTCTCACTTTTCTCCTTCATTTTCTGGCAATCCTTCATTGCCTTCTTTTCATGAAGTTTCTCAAAGCTCAGCTGACGCACCCACTTCTCATCTACTCTCAGCTCTTTCCTTGGGCAATTCTCATCCACATCAATGCCTTTGATTACAACTTATGTCATACAGATGACAAACAAAATATATCAGTTCAGACTTCTCTAATTTCCGGACCTGCACAGGACTACCCTCTGTATCTTCTCTTAGACATCTCAAAGTAGCCTCAAATTCAACATGTCTAAGCCCAAAGTTATGATTCTCTACACCCTTTTCCACCTATACTTGAACCCAAACCCTGTCCAGTGTTCCTTAATTGGACAACACCAACATCCATCAAGTCTTGCAAGCTAAAAAGGTGGTTAATCTCTATCTTTTTTTTTCATCCTTACTCACACAAGCCTCTTTCTTGGGACTTGGCATGATTGAAATTTTATAACTGTTTGTGTTATTATGTAATTATGTACCATCGAGGTGGGAACTTTGTCTATTTTACTCACCATTATATTCTACCTAGTACAATGTCACATTAAAGTAGACATTCATTTTTTGAATGACAGCAAATAACAGATACCAATAAAAAACTCATTATGTGCCAAACACTAAACAGTTTACAAAAATTATCTTTAATCCTTGTGACAACCATATTAATTACATATTATTGTTAGTGCTATTGTTATCATTATCCTAAGTTTACTGAGGAGGAAGCTAGGGCACTGAGAAGTTACAGTTCATTCCCAAGGTTAAATAACTTGGAAGTGATAGAAGAGGGTAAACCCACATTAGCTGGTGACTTGTATACCACTATGTTATGCATAACCTTGGTTTTCAAAGATATAGTAGCACCCCACTTATCCATAGTTTCAGTTATCTATGGTCAACAGCAGTCCAAAAATTTCAAATAAAAAATTCCAGAAATAAACAAGTCATAAGTTTTAAAATATGTGCTGTTCTATATAGTGTGATAAAATCTCATGCCATCCTTCCATGCCCCACCCAGGATGTGAATCATTCCTCTGTCCAGCGTATCCAGGCTATATGCATTAGCCACCCATTAATCACTTAGTAGTCTTCTCAGTTATGAGACTGACTGTCATGGTATCATAGTGCTTATGAACTAGTAAACCTTACTTTACATAATAATGGCCCCAAAGTATACAAGAGTAGTGATGCTGACCTTTCGGAAATACCAAACAGAAGTCATAAAGTGGTTCCTTTAAGTGAAAAAGTATGTATTTATAAGAAAAGACATAGTATATATAAGGTTTAATACTATTCACAATTTCAGGCATCCCCTGGGGACCCTGGAATGTACCCCTCAAGGACAAAGGAGGACTACTGTACTCTCAAGCTACTTAGCTGAAGCTTACCTGGGCTTAATACAAGCTATCTTTAATTTATGAATATAACACATAGGAAAAGTTATATATAATTAATGTACACTCGGAAATCTCCAGCTTACTTATGGTTAACATGAGATGAAGCTTAAATCCTTCTGTCTGGAATTCAAATTCTTCCATAATCTAGCTCCTTCCTTCATTTCAAGCCTTTTTACCTATGACATCCTGATGCTCTGGTCAGAGGTCAGCAAACCATATAGCCTGCAGGCCAACTGTAGACCACCACTTTTTATTATAAATTAAATTTTATTGGAGTACAGCCGCACACATTCCTTTACATAACGTCCATGCATTACAACGGCAGATTAAATAGCCATAGCTGCAAGAAAAACTCTATGGTCCACAAGGCCTAAACATTTACTATTTGGCCCTTTACAGAAAAAGTATGTCAACAACTGAACTAGACTTCTAGACTAGTCTAGCTCAATGGAAATAAATATAATAGCTACCATTAATCGAGTGCTGGATTCTTTTGACAAACATTTCAAAAGTGGTCTTGTTATACTGTTTTAATTAATGGAAGAAGAAAGCGAGGGAAAGAAAGAGAAGAAGGGAAAAAAGAAAAAGGAAGTCAGATTGAGGCTCACGTAGGTGAATAACATGACGATGATCACACAGCAAGTAAGTGGAGGAACTGGGATTACCATGCTTGCTGACCATGCTGCTGTATTACTCAAAGGCCAAAAATTTTGCATGGTGCCTTACTGCTCCCTTTTTCTTCAGCAAAGCTTGAGATTTCATGCTGCTATTATTTATTCATGCTGTTCTTTCTTCTCCACAAAATACCAATTCTCCTTTTGAAACCTAAAGAACGTGCATGGGAAATCATACACATTCTTTGAGGATAAACGGAAGCGCTACTTCCTCCACTCAATCTTCCCAGATTACCTGCAGCTAGAGGAATAATGCCTCCTATAAATGCCTACAGCATTTCAGTCATGCCCTTGTGACACTTAACACTCTTTTCTCTTAAATTTAATGATAGCAAAAGTCAAATCTACCTTTATGTCCTATATAAAACCTAGCACAATGTCTTCTACATAAGTATTTAATAAATACTTATACAATTAACAAATGAACAATAAAAACATTCCTAATGTGGATTTTTAAGTAAAATAATTTAAGATTTATTTCTTAATTCAATAGATGAAAATAGAGAATGCAGTCTAAATAACAGAAATGTCTTCTTTTGTATTGATTTTTAGTATTTTTAGCCTACTTTTCTTATAAAAATCAATTGTATGGAAACAGATTCGCAAATATAGAGGACAATCTGTTAATGGCCAGAGGAGAGTGGGGCTAGGAGACTGGGGGAGTGTGAGAAAGGGTTGACAAATTAAAGAAGTACAAATTAGTAGTTGAAAGATGATCATGGGTGTGAGAAGCATGGCATAGGGAATGCAGTCAGCAGTAATGTAATGGCTAGGTGCAGAGCCAGAGGAGAGAAAGAGTAATGCAGGGGATCATTTCATAAACTATAGAAATGTCTAACCAATGTACTGTATACTTGAAACTAATAAAATAAAATTTTAAAAAAGTCAATTGTAAAAAGAACTAAAATTCATAAGTACTAAATATATTGAAAGCGTCCTATTTGTTTCATAAAATAATACAATTTAATATTATAATTACTTATCTATTACTTATATTTTATCATTTTGCTAGGACAGAAAAGCTCTTTATAATGCCTAAATTAACAAAAACCTATCAAATTATTAGAAATAAATCAAATATCAACGAAAAAATGTTATTTATTGTAAAGATAAACCATAGATGTGTTTCGAACTACTAGTTATTTTTGAAGTTCATTCTGATAGTGAGCTGAAAGTTTAATGTCATCACTGTAGAAAAAATATCTTAATACAAATACTATTTGCAAAAATATACCTAATTAAAAATAGTTTTAGAGCCTGGTTTAACATGTCTAAGGTTCTCTATATAGTATAAAGCTTAGTATAAAATCAGTCACAGAATAGAAATTATATTAAAAAAACCCCAACATTTGTAATTTTAAAAAGTTCAATATATTCAAACAAGACACCTACCTGCATCACCTTCTGCTGAATCTCTTCTAACTGTGTACGCTTACTACGTTGCCTACAAACTTCCTGGTAACGGGTATACTGCTCTCTCAGTGAATCTAATAATTTCATAACCTGTGGCTGTGCAAGTAGTTCATCATCCATAGGAGACCATGAGACCCCTCCATCCGAGCCATTAAATCGACGCTGCTGTAATTCGGATAACAATTCATGCCCTTTACAAAACAAAAACAGTTATAATTAATAGCCTTAAAAAATACCATTTTTACTTCTAATCTTCTCAATTCTAGTCTCTTATTTTTAGAATCTATTTACCTACATGTCTAGTCTACTTACTTACTAAGTCATAAATATCGAAATGCAATTTTTAAATGTATATAAAAATAAATAAAAAACTGCATATATGTGTATATATATATACACATGGAAATACTATACAGTATATATGCCGTATCATATATCATAAATGTATATACTAAATATGCTATAATATACAGTAAATATATATGGTATATTTATCTATTCATTTATTTACCTATCTATCTACCTATCTATCACATTCTTCTTACTGGTGGATTCACTACTCAGGATACTGTGCCAACCCATCCTCTTGCCCTGTAGAACACAATACACTCTGGAATTTCTGTTTGATGGTATTAATCAGTATGCTCTGTCTGATAGCACTAACTGATACTAAGCAATATGTTATGATTTCAGTATTAACCATACATTTAATTATAGCACCTAAAAAAGAAAAGAGTTGAGTAACACATGTTAGTAGAAAGTCTTTATTACTGTACAAAGTAATATTTAATCTCTATAGGAATCTCTACAACATATTAACTGCAAATAATGAGGGGCCAAAGAACTGCATTCAATGCTATTTTATCATAACAAACTCATGTAGAAAATTCACTCATTAATGAAAAATTGAAATTGCAGAATGTGGAACATCTAAAGCTGTAAGTATGTTAACAATTTTAAAAGTAAATAAATTACCATTTTTTTCAAGGATAATACTATTCCAATTATTATTCAGGGGCCAAAAATAAGCAGATATTTAAATTCTCTTCTCTTCATCTTTATTTAGGAAAATGTTCTACATTTAAATGGCTTTTAATATATAGAAATAGAACTTTATTATAATTTTGAGGTATTTCCAATTTCTAAAAAAACATCCAAGATTGTTCTAAATCTGTCCATTTTATATTTGATCCCTACTTTAAGAGTCAATAGCATATAAAAAGAACTTAGTGGCATATAAAGTTAATTTTAAAATACAAATTTTAAATGCTTCTTAATTCAATAGCTAAAGAACCTTTGAAAATGTTAAATATAAACATGGAATTAAGTTTTAAATCTAGAGCAATATTTTTAACTGACAGTCTACTGTACCTTCTAAACATTCAGAGATTACAATTATTTCTTTGCTCTCCAAATAAGACCTATATCATACTAAAAAACTTAGGACAAGTAAATAAATACAATGAAGACATTCAGAATTTCTTTACTCTTCTTACATTTTATAATTGCAAGAACTATTCTAAAGACTTAAAGTTTAGTCTACTACATATAAACATGTTTTTACATATTTACATATATATAAAAACTCATAAAAGCCATTAAGATCAGAATACATTTACTTTTTTTCTGCTTTGACACTTGTTTCCCTTGTGGATACCATTTCCACTGGAGAAGCAGCACCGCATGATTTCAAAGACCATACCTTGAAACCAAACTGCCTTAGTTCAAGTCCCAACTCTAGTGTTACTAGCTGTATAACCTGCTAAGTTACTTAACTTTTTCATGCCTCAATTTCTATACCTTAAATCTAGGATGATAATAGTACCTATATACTTCACTGGGTTGTGGTTAAGGATAAATGAGTTAACGTATGTAAAGTGCTTAGAATAGTGTGCCTGGTACACAGTAGGATTAAAATTATGAGCTATTATTAGAAAAATACATAAGAAATAAATTTAGGTATTTTCATTGAAAGAATTTCACTGTGTTCTGCTATAAATTGTGAAACCAATACTAGAGACATTAAGGCTGGAACATACATACCATGCATACTGAACACATACTATGCGCAAGGCCACACTGCAAGGTGCTAAGTGTTTACATGACTGTAAAACAATACAGCTAGCGGCTTTAGATTTAGATATGTTTTTAGTGCTATGAGGATAAAGCTTAATAGTTATTTGATCTTGAGCAAGATTTTTTAATATTTTTAAGCTTTGGCTTTCTGAAGTACAGAATAGAGAAAATAATACTAATTATCTCAAAGGCTTGTTAGGAAAATGAAATACGAAAATACATAAAAGTATAACGCTAGAGCATAATGAGTATTCAAGAATCCTTACAGCAATCCAATAAAATAGAAATTTTTATCTCTATTTCACAGATAAGGAGATAAATCCAAATATTTCAAGGGAGAGATAATTTACTATTTATCATTATTAATATTTTTTAATATTGTAGAGTATTAAACACTCAGGTTAAACCAAAAAGCAGTCTGAAAAATTTCCCCTAGTTTCTACCACATAATACAGTAAGTCTTCATTTAACGTCATCAATAGGTTCTGTGACTTTAAGCAAAATGACATACAATGCACATCAATTTTACCACAGGCTAATTGATATAAACAAGAGTTAAGTTGCTACTACGGCATCTCATCGGCGTTACATCAAAATAACGTTGAACGAAACCATGTTATTCAAAGACTTGCTGTAAACACTCAACCAATGTTTACCTCATGAATCAACCAAAATATGATTGATTTACTGTATTATGATTATTGATAAATATGTTTTTCCATCTTACCTGTCTGAAGAACTGTTTCAGGATCAACTGATGGAAGAAAGTTTAAATCCACAGACCTGGTGAGCACCAAAAGAATAACTTTAAAAGCTATAGTTCTATCCATGTAACTTAAGAAAATCCTTTATACAAACATATTAAAATAGGTGCACACAAGTGTGAAAATCTGAGGCATACTATTCTACCATGCTAATTTCTCTTAAATATTAGGAAACTCATTAGAGATAATTAAGTATTAGCACCCACAGAAATATCTATGTGATAATTCCAAAAATATATTACTTAAAAAATAGTTTGCTATTAATTATGGCATTATTTCGAATATATCAAATGAATCCATTTTGGTTATTTTTCAATGGATATTTGTTTCAAAATAAAATTTATAACTATATAATAAGCCAGAAATGTTAACATAAAAATGCATGCAGCTATCCCTCTTGAGCAACTCTGAGAGCTGCAAATATTCTCTGGTAAGTTGGTATGTGTGTGTCTAGCAGTTATACACTTTTCCCTGTACTAATTATGTTTCATTTGAGTTGGACTGTGGCTTTATTTTCTTAAACACATTTGGGAAGTAGAAGATGAAGAAAAGATAGAGTACATGGCAAAACAAAGCCTAGAATCTTGCAACTGTAACTAAGAGTCTTGCTCTAAATCTTACACTTTTGTCAACTGATCTAGGCCTTCACCTCTTCTTGTATAGCCTAGATACTTTCTGAGGGCTGACATAAGGATAGTGATGAAAATTTGGGGTTTTAGAGACTAAGTAATGTGAGTTCCTTGGGGAGGTAATGGCAAATACAAGATTTTGTTTAGCACTCCATATAGTCAGGCAAACCAGTATTTCCCAAAATGTTTCTCAAAACACTAAATAAGGTATTATTAGGTGGAGAAAAAGGGCTATAAATACAAGAAGTTCTAAGGAAACAAGTTTCTTTATTGCAATACTTTCTCAGAACGTGTAATCTATAAACATCTACAGTCATTCTTAGAGAGGAAACACAGTAAACGACATTTAACGCTATGACCATAAACGCATTTTCCGCAGACACCCTCTTAGCATGTCTTTCCTGAGGAAAAGGACTTTAAGAACCGTCAAACTTACTCTGCTGGACTTCTCAAAAAGCAAGAAGTTCAGCTAATTTTTGTCAAGTAACTCATGTGACACTTCTAATTCCTAAGCCATAGCATAAGCATGTGTGTGACATCTACATACACACACTCATATATTTACATATGTGTAAAATGTTTACATTTTACCTTTTTATAATGCATCTAAAGAATAGTAATGTTCCTACATGTTTGTTGTAATTTTAACTGGATTCACATTCGAATCATTTGTTTTCACATTTTTTACTCTGTTTTAATCAAGATTTGGTGTCTTACATCCCTCTTACCTTACCTCGATCGACTGGTATGTGACTTTATTTGAATTCATGGAATTATAAGATGAATTTTATCAAGTTTCCATAGCATTTTTAAGGTCAGATTCAAAAGAGACAAAGATGAGTGTTGATTCTTTCAAATTTCCTAATGAAAAATTACTGTTCTAGTGATCACTTTGCTATTGAGACCAGAAAGAGTTAATCTGCATCCTAAAGTGCTTTTTACCTGGGGAGAGGAACTTGTCCTACCAATAGGAAAATAAAAACTGTTAAGGTTGTGAAATTCAATGAAAATCTGTTAAAATGATTAATCCAGGTAATTACATTTAGATAATACAACTGAGCAGTTATTTCATCCATTGTCAAAAAATACTATATTCCCCAAGTCGAACTCATGAATATCATGTATTACCAGAACACAGGAGTTCTACCAGCTAGGCATTTAAGTGTAATTTATTTAAATAGGTTATATTAATTTCATTTTAAGCTGCGACCTTTTTCATATTCTTTACAAACAAAACAGAACTCTAAAAAGTTAGAAAATTGTTTCATTTTGAAAACATGTCTCTGCAAATAAATTTTTAGTGTCAGAAAAAAAAATATTACTATTCATCATAAGTCTTTTGTAAAAAAAAAACTGATTCAAATCAATAAATTTTACACGTAAATCAAACTCTCACAAATTAAAAAATGAATTTAATTCACCTTTTGTATGTCAATTTTTATTGACTGGAAAGTTACCTTAGTTCTTTTAGCTTGCATTAACAATAGAGGTCTCTTTCACCAGATTAATCATAGCTTTGCAAGGGTGTAATTGCATGACACTGGCCACCTACCTTTCTTTCTCTTGATTTCCTTTATCACTTCCATTGTTAATCAAAGCAAGTTCATCTAATAATGATGTAGATTCCTTTGTAAACTTCTCAAAAACCTACGAGATAATATTAACATATTAAAAAGAATCTTAAAAATTAATACTGCACAAAAGGATTTTCAGTTAAGAGAAATTTAAATTAGCCAGGCATATTCTCTTTTAGTACAATTCAAACATCAGGGCACAACGTATACAAGAGAAAAGACAAAACTAGTTCCTAAAACAATGAATAGTTTCAATGCATAAGAAATTTTTTGAATTTATATACATTAAGAAATTATTTTTATTCCTCAATCAACATATTTATTTTTCCTGTTTTCTTGACAACATCTGCACCAATAACAATTTTAACTACATGAACATTAGTTAGACTAGCTTTAACCCTGTAATTCCAGCTATAGAACATTCTTTCATATTATTCTATTACCAGTCCATACAGGTTGCATGTAATGGTTAAATAATTTTACATACAAACATGTAGCATAAAAATAAATTATCCATAATTTTAACATGAATTCTTAAGATATGTCTAAAAAGGAATTTGGACAAGTCCACTTAAAATAAAGTGGACATTCATTTATTTGATATTGTTCAAGTATGGGGGAAACAGAATTGATTTTCTATTCTGAAATACCCAAAAGTTCAGTATTCTTCAATAAAAATCATATAATGTAAACTCAGTTAATCTAAAATTTGTTCTTTTTGTCAATATTATACAGAGTAGCAGATTTCATTAGTCTGGCCTGACAAGGAAGATACATTTTCAGAAATGAAATCGATAACCTGCCAAACTGCTCAATTCAAACTGATATTTAAATATTCTCTCTGAAAAATGGTATATTAACTAGATTACCTCTAAGGAAATTATGCTACTCTGTTATTCTACGTAAAAGATTTGTGACCTTGACGAGTAATACTGCTACTAATGACAACAGTAATAGGTAACCTTTGTGAATCTGACTAAAGTATTTGACTTCAAATACGCTATCATGTGGTATACACTGTATTTCTTCATTTTGGTAAAAAAAATCCATATTTTAATTGATTAAAATGATAAAGTTATAAAAATATATCTCATTGTTATGGAATAACACATTATCTCACTGTAATATACCAACCAGTCTCTTATTTAACCAGTCCATGTGATCATAGGTAAGACTTCCACCAAAATCTTCTGTTAATTGGCATGGTTCTATATAACGAGTCAATTTATTGGCAGACACTAAAATAACCTATAAAGGTAAAAAGAAAAGAATCATTTAGTAAGCCACTGTTTACATCCATAAAAGTAATGAGGAGGTTAAATTATTCAATACTGTTTCCTTCATGATGCTGTATTACCATTTATTTAACATTTAAAATCAATTCAATAAATTGTGGATATTTGCTAAGAAATGTTATCATAAACTATTTATAATAACACATTAAAAAATGAGAGGCACTAGCAGCTCAGTTGAAATATTTCCAAGTTTGTAACAATATTAATAATTTCTTGGTAATGAAAATAAGTTCCTTTAATATAATGATGAATTCAACAAAGAATTTTTATATGGCTTTAAAATTAGCTAGGTACACTAAAATGATAAGTACAAGTGAATAATAAATCTGGCAATCAAAAAAGTATACTTTATTATGTTCTTTGTGTTATACCCTGTAATAATGAATTAACAAGTCTATCATTTATTGTAATTTGTTAAAAGCTCCTAAGAAATAAAAATCAAGCTTGATTAATATAAAATAAAAAATAATTATACACTTTTAAGTTTCTCTAACACTCCTTTGATCATACATTAACGAAATATGTCCTGTAATAGTAGAGTAAAACTTAGGATAACAAATACTAATATTTAATTTGAAAATTAGAACTAAAAAGTGGGGAGAAAGTCAGAGAATTCATAAACTTGAAAATTATATATTAACATGATAATCTTTTAACTCTAAACTTTAAAAGACTTCAAATAAAAATTATAGTATCACCTAAAAGAGTACTGCAGAGCTAAATAAAATTTCAATAAAGAGATACATGAATATAAAAAAAATATGTGGAAGAAAAATATTCAAATGGTAGTATTAATGCACAAATAAATTTAAGTTTAGAAAAAAAGACATGATAAGAAAAATAATATGTCTGGCTGGAAAGAGGACCATTTCCAAAACCCTAAAAAGGAAGGCCAGATAATCTACGAAATTATAACTTTTCTGGAATTCCTCAGAGGACTGAGGTCACAGAGAAACCAATTCACCTGAAAATAAAGACAAGTACCATAGAGAGAATTATGGAAGGAGTACCTATAAAGTGGCATGAGCAAAATTTGGAGGCTAATGAAACGTTTCTGTATCTTGACTGTTGTGAAGAACATCTAACTTAAAAATAAATAAATAAATAAATAAGAAGGACTTATGGAAGAACTACCAGAGAAAGAATGAAGAAAAAGTTCAGAAACATATCCAAAATATAAAACTAGGCATCTCCTTACTACATATAAAGTTATAATGTAAACAATGAAGACAAATTATCAAGACTATAAACTGCTTTGCTAAAATGAGAAAATAGGAGAAAAATGTTGCAAAAACATGGCATCGAAAGTTCATAAAACTATCAGAAAAAAAATTATCCTATCATAGAGTTTATAACAAACTGCTATTGATAATACATTAAATAGAAATTAAGAGCCTTAGATGTTTATATTAGAAAAGAAAGGCTGGCAAATAACGAGCTCTGTGATCTACCTAAGCAGATGGGGGTCAGTAGTGGGGGAGAACAAAATAAATTTTTTTAAAAAAGAAATTATTAATAAAACTAAAAGCGTTCCTTAAAAATACTAAAATAAAATCAACAAATTTCTGATAAGATAAAGCAAGAAGAAAGGTATAAATAATAGTAGATATATAAAGAAAAGAGTTACATTGACTGTAGTGATTTAAAAGATAATATGGACACAGGACAATTTTGCGCAAATAACTATGCAAATTTAGAACGGAAAAACTACTATAAAATAGTAATTTATCAAAACAGAAAAAAAACAGAACACTTAATAAGTAATGAAGTGAAGTGAATTATTAGATTCTTTCCATTTTCAGTAATCATATTGCTACTACTTGTTTTAGTATTACTATTCTGAGATCACTTGATGATGAAGAAGAAAGCAAATGATTAATATGAGATATTTTAATTCTCCCATCACTGATGTCCTTGAGGAAATGTAATTCTTGGGAAGAAAGATGTGAGAGGGAAAAAGTTACCCTTACAGTTTTCAATTTGAATTGGAAATATCAGTTTAAACTCACAATATATTTCATCTTAAATAAAAACACACACTCGCATACATAAAATTTCCCATTCTGTCCACTAAAAAGTTTAGAAATAATGACCAATTCTGTAGAAATATATGCTTCTAGTATCCACATTTTTATTTCCAAATACCATTTCTCACTAAAAGGAATCAAGGCTCTTTGGAGAAATGGCCAATTCCAGGTCTGGGGGTAGAATACAGTATGAGCTTGGAACATCTTCTCTAGGTATCAAGAAAGGTCCTGAAAAGACTTCCACTGGCCAGAGATGTAACCATTTGCATACCAATAAGAATAATAAATGCTGTATTTTGAAACATTAAATAAATTCAATTTGATGAGCTCATACTGATTTTACAAAAGAAATGATCACCTTTGGACTATGCTGGGAAATAAATTTACTTTATCCAAACAGGAAATAAAGAGAAATAGGCATTTATTTAACTTTTCATACACAAACTATATCACTTGGTAAATAAATAATAAATGAAGGTAGGTTTCTCATTATAGAAGTATTCTAGCTAGTAAATGAAGAAATAATAATAGAACTAGAACGTGATTATCATTTTTAATCTTTAATAAACTAAGGGACCTAGTTATTGAACATCAAGTGATACTAACATCACAAAAAAGAAGACAAGTATTATGAGGCTCATGATCAAGCAACACATCATCACTAATGAACAGCCTTGGAAAAAGAAAATGAAATCAGAATCTAATCAACTGTCTAAATCCAACTATCAATTTATGAAAACACAGATTCATAAAAGCAGAATATGTTAAACTATATCACGGAGATACCACAGAAAAACTCTACAGGACAAGAAACCTGATCTCTTCAAGAAAAGAAAAATGGGTAAGAAAAGAGAGAGAGAAATTAAGATTAAAAAGCTTCATTTAATAGACTAATATAGAATCCCACAACCAATAATAAGAGAAGTACATATTCTTTTCAAGCAAACATGAAATATTTACAAACTTGACTGCGTATCAGGCCATAAAGAAAGCCTTGGTACATTGCAAAGGAACAAACATAACATTCTATCACCAAATGAAATTAAACTAGAAATTATTAATCAAATCTGAAAACTTAAGATTTGAAAACCCTATCCATTTAGAAAGGCATTTCAACCATCACAATGTATGGACATTATTTGAATCGAGATACGAATAGATCAATCAATCTGTGAGTGGGCATTAATTTATATATGTATTTATAAAATTTTAAAATATTATCTATATATAACTTTTTTACATATAACCAAATCCTTTAATAGCATTTACCAGACAATTACAAATTTGAACCAACTGGCTAAAATATTAATGAACTGTTCCTTTTAAGGTATGATATTGGTATTGGGTTGTATTTTTTATAGAGTCTGTACTTTTTAGAGATACATAATAAAATACTTATTTACAAATAAACTGAAATGTCTTCAATTCCTTTCACCATAAAATTCCCAATCTTCCTTTAGGAAAGTGGATAGAGATACGGATGATGTAGGTGAGACCATGGGTTAATGGTTATTGAAAGCAGGTATAGTGATACATAGAGTTAATTATAATACTGTTTACTTTTTTTACGTGTCCATAATTCTTTATAATAAAAATATTTAAACACTAAAATAAATATAAATCTTTTTTTTAAAAAAAAATCTTCCCAGAAAGAAGATACCAGGTCCAGCCAGTCTACAAGTGAGTTTTAAAAATCAAAGAAGAAATTTTCAGAAATTTTCATTAGTTAATTTTTTATTAACTAATTATGTTGTGAAAGCTTGTGTATAATGGTGCAAAGTACATTAGACTTCAAACCGTTTCCAGTTCTGGCTCTGCTACTTACTAGCCCTGAGACCTCTAGCAAGTCCTGAGAACAGCGCCTCAGAGCCTAGGTGGCCTCCTCTCATAAAAGCATTGCATTTGTTCTGATGATCTATAAGCTACTTGCTGAGCTTGACAGTCTCTAAGAAACTTAATTAAAAAAAAAAATGTAGGGGACATTCCTAGCTCATTTTATGAAACTAGAATAACACTGATACCTAGGACAATTTGAAAAAAGAAAAGACCATAATGACTTGCAAATATCAAGTGTTAGCTAATATCAAGTCATAGCAAGGATGTAGAGCAATGGAAATTCTCGTACAGTGCAAGCAGATATACAAATTAGAAAGACTCTCTGGAAAACAGCTTGGCATTATCTTGAAAACTGTTATAACCTGTTATATTCTGCAGAGAAAATCTTATACGTGTTTATCAGGAGACATATATGGAAATGTATACAGAGCATCATTCATAATGGTAAAAGAATGGAAACAACCCACATGTCTATCAACAGAATAAGTATACAGTTTTCATTCACACAAAAGAATAATATTCAGCAGTGAGAATGAATCAACTATATCTACTGAAAGAATATGCATGAATCTTATATAATGAGTGAAAAAAAGTAAGTCAGTGAAGACTAAATTATATCATTTTCTATAAAACTCAAAAATAAATGAAATTAAATATATTATTTTAGAATATCCCTAAATGATGCCCACAGATAGATAGAAGAATAAAAGATAAACACTCTCTATTTTCTTCTAAAGATTCTGTCTTTCACATTTAAGTTTTTAATACACATACACACTACAGAATGAGAACATGAGCAGAGGATGGATAAACACGAATAATTTAGGCGTTAAGGCTGGTAAACGGGATCAGAGAGGGGTATTCAAATTTATTTCAAGGTACAGATATTTGGGTTCTTAGATTGGGTGGTGGGTATTCAAGTATTTGTTTTATAATTAACCTTAGGGTATACAAAAAGGGCACCATGAGATCTCAATCTCAGACTGAAGAAAAGGTACCTCTTTTAAGGCATCAAGCAAGGAAGCTAGAGAAAGAACAAGAAAAAATCTGGAGGTGGTAATGACAGGAAAGCTAAGGGTTTTTGTGCCTC